ATAACGGGACAATTCTGCTCAATTATATAACCCCTTGATATGTTAAACTGAAAATTAACAAACAGTTTAAAATTACTAAATGTGTATATGTTTGTGTTTGTATCTATTATGTACATATACGTATATATTTATATATGTGTAGGTGTGTGTGTGTGTGTGTGTATGTGTGTGTGTCTGCACCTCATGATATGTGCATATATGTAAGTGACCCATAACTGTGCCATTTCACAATTTTGATTAATGTTTTCAATATTGAAGTCGCCAGATACAATATGTCATACGTGGGGGTCACTGTTAAATTTAACCATTGGCTGCCTATCGGATCAGATGGAAATTGACATACATACTAGTCAAATTTTGTCATTTTATCGAAATATCGCTCAACTCAAAAATCTTCCAGTTAGGATCATATCCGACGGTCCGTTTTATATGACATTTACAAGTTGAAAGGATGAAAATTAAAGGAAAGAAAAATATTTTCCGGTTGATCGAATTACAAATAAATTTAATTAACTAATATTTTAAAAATCAACATATCGCTGAAATGACAGCAGACTTCGTAAATGATAAAAATTCTCATTCGCGTGAATAGTTCGAAAAAAAAAAACAAATAAAAGACCTACTATAGTTTCAATATTAATTTACTTTATAATTTGATTGCATTCATAATTAGCCTAATTAGTTCGAAATAATTTTATCAAAAGCACTTTTAAAACGAAATACCTTGGAGTGGTAATGATAATATCTTCAAATTCATTCAAATCGATGGGCAACATTTTAGATGGCGATGAAACAATGGAAGTGCAAGAATAAAAGTGATCCAAGCCTTTGCTAATATCCACAGTTCTAATCTTTGGTGATATTTGTTTGGTTGGAAAATCCTTCTGTAAACGTCTCACACCATCGAGATATTGCAAATCTGGATCTTTTTTAATCCGTTCACGCCATTGTTCAGTTGACTAAAAATTTATTATATTTTAATTTAAATAAACGTCGGAAATTGTTTAAACTTGGAGAGGAAAGATCTCTCTGACGATAAAGACTTACTTCTTTTAATGCATGCTTCTGCACTTCAAGTGCTGTCTTCTCTTCCTTTTTCGATAATTCAGCACTATCAGTTAGCACAACGCTGCCATCCATGAACTAAAAAAATTCAATATCATATTTAGATTTTAAAAAGTTTTCAAAAAAAAATCAACAATAAAATTCAAAAATACGATCTAATTTTTTTAATTTTTAAGTCCTCGACAAAAAAGGAATATTCATTTGACAATTAAATGAAAATATGAATTTTGACAAGTAATAGTTAAATGAAAATCAGAATAAAAGGTAAAATAAAATTGCTCACATTGGTAGTTTTTAATACGTACCGAAAAGTTCGTTAAGCTCTTAATCAATGATTTAAACAACCTATCAGTATGCGCACGAAAGCATAAATGAGTTGCAGGATAATATATAACAAATTATTTCTTATTATAACTCATCTCTATCAATGCTATCAATACGCTTATCAGATCGTAATCAAATTGTTTGAAGTAAGCGAGAATGAGCAAAAATCTAACTTTATTATTTTATGTTTTTTTCTAAAACGCTGAAAGTAAAAAATCATTTCAAGCTTATATTGTTTGATAAATTTTATCCATTACTTTTCCAATATTGTCCTAAAATGTAGATATTTATTTTAGATATATCTTCAAACTACTGCAATGTGAATTTTGAAAGAAGTCAATTTCATCATTGCCATAGAATTTGCATATCATATTTCGTTACATATATAATAGAAATCATTTTTATATCATTTTCTAATTGAATTTTTATTTGATTGCATTAGCGTTCAGATATAATTAACAAAGGAAGCGATCGATTTCGAAACTAATTCTAGCAATATCGCCTTGTAAATAAATTCAACGTTTCATATTATCCTCTACAGTAAAATCTTCAAAATTGCACTAAAAACTATAAAAATTTCAATTTAAACATTAAAAAATAGAGTTGTAAATAAAAAGTTATGGCTTCACTATCTTATACAACAAAGAGAAACTTTTTTAGCTAATAAATTTATTAACGAAGCTATTCATAGTTTTTCTAACGTAATATTTCAAAGTACAGTGATATGCGGTGCGATTTAAATATATTCTCAGTTGAAGGTTAAAAATATTAAGAGCCAATCAACCTGTGTGATAAAATTTAGAAAAATGTTTTTTTAATTAATTACTAATAATAAATTCGTTAAAATTTAATAAAGATCAATAAAAGAAATACGTTAACCCTTTTAACAGCTAGAAAATTTTTATTTAATAAGTATGATTAGAAGTATTCAAGTAGATTTGCATAATGAATAATAACATACTTTGCAAACCATGGAGAAAAATTTTTTGCATCAAACTTTAAAATCATACAAAATATTATAAAAATTAACTTTTTTTTCCCAACAGTCCGATGATGCTCATTTTTGCAAAAAAAATGCAAGCTTCGATGTGACTCATAATTTAGCGCCTTCCAGTGAAAATCTCAATAAAAATCAAAAATTTATTTGAATGACGATGGATGCTATTTTTTCGGATTCATCAAACAAACTTTTTTTATTAGAATTAATCTTAAAAAATCTTAAATTTAATTAATTTAGATTTAAAATTTTTTTCTTTTTTCTAAAATTTTCATCAACAAATTTTATATTTTGAGAACAAAAGTTCATGCGAGAAACAATTACTCGGTATCATTGAATTCTAATAAACTATTTGATTAATTGAATGAATTAAATGACAATTCGATGAGATCATTCACATCGATATTTACGGAAGGGAAAGAAGAAGAGAATCATAATGTATAAAATGATTGAGTTGAATTAAAAAAAAAATTGAGTTAGTTGAATTAACAGATGAAATTGGTTTATTAGTTAAAGAAGCCATTTCAGAATTTCATCATAATTTGATCAATTCCTGAGTTAATTACAGAAATAAAATGAAATACTTAGATTTTCAGCAAACTATTTCAATTATTATTAATTGTTCATTAATTAAATTCAATTATTTCTGCGTTGATGTTTGAACAATGAGAATGACGTTTTGAAAGCCAAAGGATAACTGCTGAAGTGTTGCTTTTTAATTATTTCAAGTTTTCCACTTGTTCCTTTGAACTGAAAAGGAAATAAGAGGAAAAAATGTCACATTATGGTTGACAGAGAATGGATTAAGTGCTTATTGATCGGCATTAGCCGGTGTGTATGCACCCGTGCTACAATAATCTCATTATCAATTTAACTTGATGGACGTCCAAAATTCGGATTTTCTTTTTTTGTGCTTAAAAGATTCTCTTCGATAAAAACGAGACAAAGGTTATCAAAGGTCATTTCAACGAGATCATAAAGCAAGCAAGGACTAATGCGATATGAAGATTTCGATGATACTTATAGTTGAACAATAAATATGTACATACATATGTATATGTATCTTAATTAGAAGTATTTGAAGATTTATGAATCATCGAAAAGAAGATAATCCGTAAAATCATTAACAAAATTTATTTTAAGAATTTTGGAGTAAACAAAGTGATCATATAATCAATTTCAGTTCTTATATGATCAATTGAAACTCTTATATGACAGTACTATTATTTTATTTTTCTTCATTCAATACCAAAAGTTTCACAAAAAGGGTCAAATATGCCATCTGATTTTCAAAATGCCATTAATTAATGCTACTATTCGCACTCAACTTTTAGCTTTTCTGCATTCATCAGTACCTTTCCATCCCATAATGTAACAAATTGCACTATTACGTGCATACATAGCTCAACTATCTCTTCATAGCGTGTGATAGGAAATTATTGTTGTTAATTCATTGAGAAATTGATTTAGGCATTGGTGTGTTAATTATATTTGATCACAGAGATGAATATAAATAGGCAACAGAGAAAGGACAGAAAGATACCTGCCTTCAAATAAACAAATTCACTGCCTAAGTACTATTATTCAAGTTTGAAAATAAGATAAACAGACATGTAGGCAGTCAAGTTAAAAAAAGACTCTCGATAGATAGATACGATAATAACAGAGAGCTAGATAAAACAGATTAGGCACTTCACTGCAAAGAATAATTGAACGTAAAGTGAGACGCTTTTTGATGTGCAGAGAAAGTGAAATATTTCTCAAAATTTCAATAAATTTGGCTTATTCCATTATTAAAATAGAAAAAAAATATCAAAAGGAACAACTAAGTGAGACAGAATAATTAATGGAACTAACAATAGCTTTTGATAATATTGTAAATAAAATTTAAAAAAATGTATGGTCATGTAATTTTGGAAATTTTGAAATTGATATAAAAAATGAAACTAATTTTGATTATTTCAAAAATGTTATAATAATAATAATAATAATAATAATAATAAATTCATTATTATGCTAAAATATTAGTATGATTTTAAAAGAAGTTGCAAAAAGGGATTTAGTGAGATTAAATTTCAGAAAAAATTCGCCGTTTTCTCCTCACTTAAAATGATCAGTATTCTTCGATGTAACTTTTCCTGTCTTATGTAAACATTGAAATGAACTGAATTAACGAATTATTTGTTCTAGTTTCGGGTTCTTATCAGATATTCTGCGTCGAAAGAATCGGAAAAAAGGCATAGTCATTTAAAAGTATTATAAAAAGCCTCTCGTCAAATTATTATTCATTCTTGTGTGAAATAATTATTGACAAGTCAGATGAAGTAATTAAATAATTAAAAAATTCTAATAAATAAATTCGCTTAAAAATGGAAAAAAAAATGTTTCCATTGCAAATCGACGTTTTTGTCTTTGTAATAATAAAAATAAAGCATTTCTTTGTCAAGAACGATTTGTAAATCTTATCAAATAAAATAAATCCTTTTTTCTGAAATTAGTCAACCATGAAGGAGAATAAAGCGTATACAGTACCTGAAAGAGGGAAAAGATGGAAAGAAAAATTAGAAGTAAGGAAACTTGACAATCATTGCAACCAACAAATTTAATTTTAATTTTTAAATTAAGTCATTACACAAAGTATATAGAGATGACTAACATGTTTTTTCAACAGGGCACTTTTTCGTTGACTTAGTATCCCACGTGATTCTGGTACCACTATTTCACGTGATCGTTGATAACGCCAGCGGTTAGTACTTTCGTTAAGTTGTGCCAACTTTTGCGCAATCATTTAATCAATCGACTTTAAACAGATTTTAGAAAATTTTTCAAATTTCAGTTTGAAAATTACATAAAAGTTCAGCTTCGGCGGAAAATTATTCAGAAAAAAGGATGATTCAAAGAGGGAAGAGGGAAGAGGAAAAGTAGCCGAAGAAGAAGCAATCGTCACTGGCCACCTCGCTGAATCATTAAAGGGCGGGCTTGATGGAAAGAGCGGTGTGACACCTCCCATTGGTAATGTCCATCCTTCTTGACTGCCCATCATCCATGGCCAGAACTCTCTTCCTTTCTCTTTCTCCTCTCCTTCAGTTTAGATGTTCGCAGCAAAAAGTTGAAATTTGTTGCAACGCTGTTGCCACCGCTACTTTTCAAAGACTGAGAGATGAACAGATTTTGGAAAGATAAATTATGCAAAATTAATTAAATTAATTAACTACCATCAATAAGAGACTGTGAGAAAGTCCATCGAGGAATTGTTCCTCGATATATTCAATATTTTCTGCATAGATTCAAAATGATGTTAAATAATTCAAAAGAAAAAAACAAACATTTCAACAAATGTTGTAACAACTTCCGCTTATGTAATTGCTTTCTGTTAACGGATTTTTTTTTTTTTTTGAAAAGATAACAACATAACAAATAGAAAAAAGATGATTATTTGAAGGGAAAATATTTCACTGTTGGAGCAGGGAATTAAATTTGATCATTCAGTAACTTCCAAAAATCATTACTGCAGAAACACTTAGAATAACAAATTTTTATTTCCTCTTTTAAAATTCAAAAAAAAGTTTCGGAATTTTCCACAACAGAATATTTTCTCTTTTAAAAAAGGGAAAGAAAAATGGGAAGTTTTTTTTAAAACGATAGTAATAAATTTAGCAAGTATTCGAAGTATCTTCGAAATATAACTGCTGTAATCTCGTGATTTAGTTATAAATGGAGAAAATTAGAGTGGAAGCGGAATTTTTTGAAAAATTTTCTAGAGTATTATCGATTGTTTCTGGTTTCTTAGAAGTTGAACCAAAAAAAATTCTTTTGCTGTATACATTTTAAATTTAACATAATGTAAAGAATAGAAATTAATATATTCGCCAATGGAAATTAATATATCATTTGCTTTTACTATATCATTAATATAGCATTTGCTTTTACCTGCTTTGAGGTCTTCATTCTTTCTTCTTCTCAGGTAAATTGATCATTTTATTCGAACTTTTCATCATCTCAAGAGAGTTTTTTCCGCAATTTAAATTAACCTTTGAAAGAATATCAATCAGAAATTCGATATCATCTGATCACATGTTTAGCTGATGCGATTTAAACTATTAAATTATAACCTGCAAAACCTGTCTTACAATTTTATGATTTTTCCTTTCTCGAAATATTGCCTCTGTCATGAGCAATATATCTTCAGAGAGAAACATATGCAATTAAAGACCCTCTCATTATTATTATGCTAAAAAAACCTATCTAACAAATCATTTGGAATTAGTAAGTAAACTGAGTGATAGCATTTATCAACTGGTCAAATGTCATTGTTTGTTTGTTGTCCAATTATCTTAATAGCGCACGGGTTTCTCGGATATAAATTGGAAATGTTTCATCGGAAAAATTGGTATTTCTAATGCCATGTGATGACGTGTCGTTATGGAAATGAAAATTAGGAATTTCTAATTAAAAATTTAACAGTTATGTAAAAAAAGAAAAGAAAAAACTATCCTGAAATGAAAAAAGAGAAAATTGATGAATAACAGGCAGATCTGTTCAGTCATCATCATCAATATCGATCAAAAAAAGCAGGACCACAATAGAACAGATCAATCAAAATTGTTACGGAATGGATTATCATTCATTGCGATCTATTTCGCAGTCATCAAATTCGTCCCTTTACTTGAAATTTCCACAATTTGATGTCTTTGGAATTTAAAATTTCAGTTGATTCCCAATTATGCAACTATTCGATGAATATTATTTCATCCTTCAACTTCTTTAAATGTTGGCACTAAAAATGCTCATAGTCCAGAAGATGCCAGAGATTTGAGATCTGAAAAATGTGAGCAAAGACCTTAAACAAACAGCATATTACTTTCTATAAGTTAGGCAAGATTTTATCTTTTCCAACAATGCCACAATCACAATAATGATGAGCATTATCGAACTGATATTGCCTTATAATTTTCTCATCCCAATTAAAATTTAAATTCGGCAAAATTGCATTATAAAATTCATGAGAGATAGAGAGTAAAAACGATTGATAACCTTTATATTCTTTGCATGCAATTACTTAAATTATTTTCATATTATGGTTGTTGTTCGCTAAAGTCAATTTACTTTGAGGACATATGAATCTATGACAACTTATTTTGAGACATTTGAATTTATGACTGTTAATGAGACAAAACAGTCTCAGTTTGGTGATCAATTTTTTCAAATCAAGATTTCTACTATTCCAGGAGCAAATCAATAAATGCCGAGAAATAGAACGATCGCCTGATATCCGATCCGACATCTCTATGCCAAGTCTGCACCGATTTGAAATTCGATAATTTTCATAGCGTTCCAAGATCTGTAACCTATTCAAAAGTAGTTGTGGCGGGAAAGTTCGGAGAGTTTTTTCGTTGCGTGAAATTGATTTGCTCTGGGTTCGAGGTAAATGTTAGAAGGGTCAGGTTTGAAATTAGAGTACGATGCAGTGAAATGTCGTGAACGTGTGCAGTTTGGCAAATATCGCTTTATCAAACCTTCCAGAAACTTTGTAATCCCCGATTTTACGGTATCTTTTTCAGTCGTTTCCTTTTGCTTTGTATTATCATTCTTGATCGATTAAGAAATGTTTTTTTGAATATCTAAATTTCAGTATTTCAAAGGCGTGCATGAGGCACAAATAGTGGCATCGATATCCAAATCTTCTTTACTGCCACCTACGCCTCAAAAGGAAAAAACTATCTCGGATATCGCCGATGACTTTGATGACGATGAATTATTACGACTCGCTGATGCAACTGAACTCGAATATGTTCCAACACTTACATCACCCAGTGCTTTCGTTGTTGAAGTTAATCTTCTACATCACTTCTTTACTTTATTGTTGTCAGAGATTTGTAGTCTCTGCCATAGTTTATTCTATAAATTATTACTTGACAGCTTATATGGACACGTATAAATTCCATACAGAATAGAAGACGTTCTGGCCACGAAGTTGTATCAGTCATTCCGGATCGTCCACGATATAATGAGATTTATCTCAGTGATTCACTCGACGGTGAAGAAATTGAATTCCATGATTCTCCAAACGATCTTTCTGACGCGGATATGGAACCAGATGAAGTATTGTCGACAATTTCCTTTCCTTTCTTATTTAAGTTCAAAATACTCTTTCTGGTATTTAGGACTCCTTCTTATCCATGGTCAAATATTATCTTTGCAATCCTTTAAACACTGCATTTATATTCCACTGCTTTATTGCTCCTTGTGAGTCAATTATTAATGGCCAGTAAATCTCAACTGAAACCATGCCGTTTTTCTTAGTTATTAATTCTTATTCTGAAAAGATTCCAGTTAAATTAAATTGCAAGTTTAATTTTTTAAGGTGACGAGTAATGACAAGCTTGTAATTTGTGACAAAAATATTGGCAACGAACAACAAGGCTCTGTTGAAATAGTAACGTAGGTTTCGCGCTTGTATCGTGAAATCAATTATGCGTAAGCATTATTTTTAGTGATTTTAATAAGGGAGTTCAATGAGATTTAAGAAAATTTCTGAACACCTGCTTCTTTCATTGGAGTTATTTTTTAAGGCTTTCGCCAGATTTCTCTTCTTTGAATTCTAAAATTACATCACGTGCGGTACATTATAATAATGATGTATTCAATAATGGTATGGACGATGATAATATGGAGGTTTGTGAATTGATTGAAAATAACATCATTTAGCAACAAAAAGCAATAACATTCTCACTAACATTCTCACCGAATTACTACGGTTTAGAAAAA